TATATATATATATATATATATATATATATATATATATATATATATATATATATATATATATATATACATATATATTAGTAGGGGGTGGGGCTTTCTTTTTGCGCATCGTTCCCATATAGCAAACTAACAGTAAGAGGGGTGTGGTTAAGAATATTGGTGACTAAAGCTATCAAACTGACGTCAACAGAATGCCGCAATCAAATGGGTAAGTAAATAATGATTTTGATTGAAGATTATCAAATTAGATTAACTTTTGTACATATTTATTGTTTACCTAAAAAATAGCAATGTGCACTAACAAAATGAACATTGTAAATGTAGATTTCAAATGTACTTTAAAGACTTCTCTTTTGGAGAAGCTTGATGCTTCAGAATTCAGACAGCATTGATTGGGCAGACAATAAGAAGTGTAGCGTGATCTCATTAAAATTGTTAGTTCATAAGTGAGAGGCTGAAAGTTTTGAATACAGTCAAAGGCTGCTCCGAAATCGAATTCTTCCATATGTATAGTACGCTAAAAACAGTATGAGAGCCAAGTAGTGTGTCTGAATTCGATAGTACGCGAGAAGTACCCGATGACCTACTACTTCCGGCGAGAGTCTAAAGTGCGCATTGGATGGATGCTACGCTAACCCATGATGCACTGCAAGAGAATTCATGAATTGGATTTAAGCCAAACAACTTATGTGGCTAGTACAAAATGGCGGATGTAGTATGTATGAGTTCCATTTATACTATTGACATTCATACCGTATAGAATGTACTTTTCTAATGGCTGAGTAGTTTGTTTAAATTTAAATGCAGTACCTACTGAATAGGTTTTGAACAGAGCCAAAGTCCTTTTAAGGCAGGGCAGGGCTTCTGTCTGCCAGGTGAATTTAGCTTCCTTGCTAAATGGCTAACATGGATTTTATTGAGAGAATAGCTGTGTTTATGTGCTTTAGGAAGACTGAAAAACAGTGTTGATCCCCTAGGTCCACTAGATCCATTCTGAGGTGCACCCAGCTCTGTGAGTTCATAAACTCCTCCAGAAACTATACCTGGATGATGGATGATGGATGATGAAAGCTTTCAGCGGTGCTTCTAACTGAGCCAAGCCCATGAACTGTTTTATGTGTCAGCAGGAGAATTTTCCCCCTGGACACCAACAACAGAAGCTATGTCATAATCACACCCCCACAAGAGCAAGCTCCTGATTGGTTAACGTGGTGCGAATGTCTGCTGAACTTGAGCAATTCAATAGCGCGAAACGCTCAACTCACGCTGCTTCATTTGTGCAAATCGCTTTATTCGCGCCCCTTCATTCACATGTATCACGCCGCAGGATGTCTAGTCTTTGCATTGACTTAACATGTAAATCACTCATGCTTGACGCTTCTTCCAAGTTCTACTGTGTAAACACAACATAAACATTCAAAATTTGCAGAAATTCATGACTTGGCTCCTGTACTAGAAGGCGGGGCTTTATTCAACATATTGACTATTTCTCCTTTTTTTTCCCATTAAAAACTATACGAGTGACGTGCCTTATGTATTCTATAGTCCTGATACCATACAAAGTTTTCCTAAATGTTAATTATGTTGCTGTTTGGGAACATGCTAGCTTACAAATTACTTTAAGGCTAACATATTCAAAACAAAAGCCAAAGAAACTTCCATTTTGATTTCATGAGTGCTTCTGTTTAAAAAAGATATTTTCTGTTATATCCTACATAAAGAGATTTCTGTAAGTCCATTCAACAAACTTTGACACTTAAATTGGATGGTTAAGTCCAAGACATAGTCAGTTTATAGCATTTCATGTAGGCTTTTATACATAGAAATTCATAGATGCACATCATATATGATAAACAGAAGCTAAAATGTATTTGCTTAAAGCAATAATAAGAGTCAATAAGCTTACATGTCCCACAAACACACTTAATGTATGTTTGACACATGTAATTAATGTTTGAATGTGAATTAAAGCCAAAAAAATGAACCTATGCATCATATGAAGCAAACTGAAACTTCTAAACACTTAGAAAATCCTTTAGAGTTACTTTGAAGTCATATTCATGAAATGTCTCAGCTTGAAAGCTTTAATGGAATCTTGGTTATAGGAAATCACTTAAATCTTCTGGAATGTCTTATGGTTTTGGAACCACATAATGACAGAATTGTAATTTTTTGGGGGGTTAACTACCCCATAAATATGTTCACTGCTTGATTTTTTCAGAGTCTCGTTTTTTAAGCTCAACATTCAAAAATGTTGTCTGTAAATAATCTGTGACCTCTGAACAATAAAGTGCATTCTCAGACATTGTTCAAATAAAGCTCAAATAAAATGTCATTCATAAGCATTTGGTTCAGTTCAGCTCACATAGCGTCCACCAACAGTTCAAAGACCATAGTTCAAGAACCAAATGGAGAAGCGTATGAATGCATTTTACTTAAAAATGTCGTACATCTCAGTAGGAATTTTCTAGGATTGCAAAATGTTGAGTTGATCATATCATGCCACTTTTGTCGTGTACCACATCAGAGCCGCGACGTGAAGAGCGTCCGAGTAGGAATTCTTTCTCGTGGATTAAGCTGTCAACCAGATCCTCTTGACGGTAGTTATGGTAGACCTTCAGAAAGGCCACGATGGTGATGCCGAGCCAAGTCAGCCAGGCCGCCCATAAACCAAACTAAAAGGAGTAAAGAAGGTGTGAGTGGGTTGTTTATTATAATTAGTTATAATGGACCCTTTTCATAAGACTGTTGTAACACGTTTAGCATCTCATCATAATCTTAACCCTTTGGAACCTTTTGAAATTTCAATTTTGAAAAAAAAAAAAAATTTATATATATATATATATATATATATATATATATATATATATATATATATATGTATATTTGTATGTATTCATGTATGTATTATATCATCTTTACATCAAATTCCAAATGTCCTGTCTAAATTTTTAGACAGGACAGTAAGTATGACGTTTTTCTCTCTTCTGGCTGCAGTTATCAGTCATGCACATTTTTTTTTATTTTTTCTGAACGTCTTAATAAAGCCATTGTGGAATTTTTATTTTATTATTTCAGCAAATGGGATTGCAAAAAAAAATTCTTTGTTGTTTGCTTCCATTTACTGCACTCCAAGTTTACACAACTGTGATGACTTCCGCTGCTGAGAAGCCCAGAAATGTGAAAAGGGTCCATAGGCAAAGTGCCAACAGAAGCAAGAACATTTAATTTCATCAAGACAAACTTTAAATGTGGTTTTATTTGGAGGTTAACAAATTATATGGGAGTTAAAAGATACATATCCCATCATGCCCTGCAGTCACACACCAGTTTCAGTTCACTTTCTGATTACACACAGCTGTACTTTCCAGTTCAGTATTGATAGTCAACAGTGGTGTGTAATAGGGCTCTGCAATTAATCGAAAATCCGGTTTGATTTCAATTTTGTCTTCTAACAATTATGAAAAACCATTAATCGAGATAAACGATTATTCCATATACCACTCCCTTTCCAGTTGTACACATTTTTTGCTCTTCAAAGCTCAGTTCCACGTGAACATGACTAAAAGCATGTGCTGTAATGTAACGTTTGCAGCACGGTATGCGCATCATTCATATTTTTAAAAGCGCAAAAGAGCACGTGCTGTTGTGTGTGTGTGCGCGCCGCACTTAGCCTCGGACAGGTAGTGTGTGTGTGTGTGTGTGTGTGTGTGTGTGTGTTTGTGTGTGTGTGTGTGTGTGTGTGCGTGCGTGCGTGCGTGCGTGCGTGCGTGTGTGTGTGTGTGTGTGTGTGTGTGTGTGTGTGCGCCCCGCACTTATCCAGAGACGAGCAGACCTTACACATCTAACGCCACCTTAATGCGAGCGCTTTAATGGTCAAATACATGCACATTTGTGTCAGAGCCTGGTGTATAGTGATTATTCATATCAACCCTCATTTGTGTAATAAACAAACAAGTTGAGAATCAAAAGACATGTGAAAGAGAAACCATATCAGAGCCACACTATTCTTAAAGTGACAGTGTTTCTTTTATCTTTACTATGATGACAGCACATCATATTTTACTAGATATAGATTTCAATATACTAGTATTCAGCTTAAAGTGACATTCAAAGGCTTAATTAGGGTAAATAGGCAAGCCACTGTATAACAGAGTTTCTTCTGCTGACAATTAAAAACATATATTGCTTAAGGGGACTAATAATATTGAGCTATTAAAATAGATTTCAAAATATTTAAACCTGCTTTTATTAGGTGAAATAAAACAAATAAGCCTTTTCTCAGAAGAAAAAAAAAATATTATAGGAAATACTGTGAACAATTCCTCTGGTAAACATCATTTGAAAAATATTGATATATAAAAATAAAGTCACAGAAGGGCGAATAATTTTGAATTCCACTGATAATCTTTTTAAATAATCGTGATAACAATTATGACCAAAATAATCGTGATTATAATTTTTTCCATAATCGAGCAGCCCTAGTATGTAATCAGAAGTTGAACTGAAACTGGTGTGTGACTGCAAGACATGAAGGGTTATGTAGTTCAAGTGAATGACCAGTCTGCAACGGCAACGCCACTGGTAATCATAACACAACATAATATTTTTAATAATAGATTTTTAATGTGTATTTACTGGGGACATTTTGCCCTGAAAGTTTTACCTTAAAGACTCCCAATACACTTATATGAATGTATATGCCTGTTGAATCATGCATTCAGCTTAAATTATCATGATATAATTATTTAACTTACATACCTGTGCAATGGCAAACTGGTCATAAAACGCAGAGTTGTCCAATCCTAGTTCCAGATCAGTGTCCTGAAGGTCCTCGCAGCTAGAAATTGACAGTAGTCAAAGTTATATATAATTCACAGGCATCTAAAGAATCAGCATATATCAGTATTAAGCTTTTCCTCAAAGCTTAAAGCTTGTTAGACAAACTCTGGCTGTATATTCAAACACTGCAGCAGCCTAGGGACAATGAAACAACTTGTCATTAAAGTGAACCAAGCCATAAATGCCCCATTGAAATGCTAATTTCAATGACACCAGCTCTACTCTAACAGAGGATAAAGAGGCCTACATAGTTAATTGGGGCACTTTCCATCCTATAAAGTCAGTTTAAGTGAACACTTTTTTGGAATTGGGCTTAACTTCCCTAGAGTTAAACAGTTTTACCAGTTTTTATTTCAGTTTCTTTACCAGTTTTTATTCCAGTCAGCTGATCTTCATGTCACTCTTAGCTTAGCTTAGCTTAGCTTAGCCTAAATAATTGAATCAGATCTGACAAGTAGCATCTCGGTTAAAAATGACCAAAGAGTTTCTATAATGGCCTCATAAAAACTTGATCTCTGTAACTATTGTGTACTAAGACAGACAGGAAATGAAAAGTTGCTATTTTCTAGGTTGATATGTCAAGGAAATATACTCTCATTCCAGCAAATAATTAAGGAACTTTGCTGCCATTCCATGGCTGCAGTAGGCACAATATCACACAGATTCTATCTGGTGGTGCAAGTCTAGGGCTGAACTATTTTAAGGCTCTTTGCAATATTATGGTGCCTGCTGGAGCCATGGTACGGCAGCAAAATTCCTTGAATGTTATGCTAAAGTGAAAGTAGAGCACTTAGCCACACAGACAGACCCCGAGTTTAGCTAAATGGATTTTAAAAAAATTGAGAAAAAAAAGCTTTTTCTTTAAAAGTATCTATCTTGCTAGTATTTTGATATTAGTGCTATTATCTACAGTGCATGCATACACAGTGAAAGCAGCAAATGGCGTTTACCTGCTATGCATACTGCCTCCTTCTGTGATGGCATCACACCATAGATTGAAACCCACGCTGACTATTGTGCTGGACAGAAACACGGCAAACACTACAAACGTGCTGATGAGCAGGTTCAGGAAAGCATTGAAGATTGAGCTGTATGAACAAAGGTAAGAGACAAAAATGATCATTTTCTCACAGTCCGGATGTTTCAAATCAGTACTGTTTTATCTTGTTTCATATAAATGTTAAGATGTTTTTTTGTTTTTTTTTCATAAAATGGAAAGAGCATGGGATTTATACAACATAAAAAATACCCTAAAAGTGGCCCACACAATTATTTCTTACAATGTTTATGTGTTTTGAAATCATTAAAAAATGTGTCACAACTGATTATGAGATGTACAACAACAAATAATGTTTGATGTCACTGGCATGATGCATGTTGATGCAAACAGGCATTGATGCGATTGTTAGGAGTCATAAGTTAGCTACTATCATTTTACAGCACTTGTGGCCTTTCCCTTTAGATGCATGACTTAACATCTTTTATAAGAAACAACATAACATGGGGGATCATCATATATGCATTATGATTGTCATGAAATGGTTGTTCCAAAACTATTGTTCCTGTTCGGTACATTAGAAAAAATGAATAAAAATTTGGATAAAATTGCCTTAAAAGTGTTTATAAAAGTGATAATTTTGAATTGCCATATTTTCAACTAGTTTCCCATTGTTGGATTGCAGGCGGAAGGGCATCCGCTGCGTAAAACATATACTGGAAAAGTTGGTGGTTCATTCCATTGTGGTGACCTCTGATTAATAAAGGCACTAAGCCAAAAAAGAAAATGAATGACTATTCTGCACAAATTCTTTCCATTTTATTTTACATTTTACTTCTATGATGTGTCTGCGTATGTGTAACTGTTTATCTGTGCGCATGAGGCGTGTATGTTTTAGAGTGGCTGCGCTTGTCTCTGTGTCTGTGTGGGAGTCGCGTGTCTGTCAGTTGTGTTTACATGTCATCAGCTAGGCGGTCACGTGATCGCTGTCTCCGGCTCATGCCGTCGCTTAGCACCGTTCAGCTGATAATCAGTGCACCACAGGTGCAGCGCATTTACTGCGTCTAAAGTTATGTATGTTCAGCGTTCCTGGCTCACTTTGTCAGTTTATGGTTCTCACGGTGTTCTGTGTCCTGTCAGGCTCTCGACTTTGAATCGCTGGTGGTGAGTGAGCTGATGATTTGCCCATGGAGTTTTGATCCTCTCAGTTGATGACTTTGATGTTCTCTGTTGACGGCTGCTCGCATCTGTTAAATGCTCCAGCTCTGTTTATTGTGTCACTCTGATCCTTTGTGTCACTCACCTGTTACCACCAGCCTTCGATCTACCAGCTCTTCTGTTTATCCAAAATAAACTGTTACTTGCAATTGGGTCTTATATTATTATTATTTTTTTTTTTTACTAACCACTGTTGTCCAATTACCTGCCTTATCCCAATTTTAAGGCAGTATCATGTCAAAGACAAAAGACATTAGCCTTTATTGGCATGTATGTTCCATAAAACGGTCCCTCTTTTATTTACATGGTGCGGTTTAAAAGAATAGCCATGTCAGTAAAGACTTGCTAATATTTTTTTCCGCATTTTTCAAGGTGCCTTGGACTGAGAATTATTTAGGTTACCCCCGAGCACTTTTTGTTTGATTTTGGATCCGTTAATTATGTATGAAAAAAAATTATTAATGTTAAACAACTTAAAATAAATTAATAAATAAATAAATAAATTGTAAAAATCAATTTTACAAGATGGATTTTTTTCCCTTTAACTGTAATAGAGGTAAAGTTGGTTTTATATTGGGATATTCAGACATTCTCCTTAATAATATAACTTCAGAAAAGTATTCTTTGCCAATTGTAAATAGGGAAATCATATTAGCAGTAAATGACCATCAAAGTACAGCATTGTTCAAAGTGAATTAGATAGTGCTAATGTTGTTTAGAAGTCATACTTTCATGCTAATTCAGATCGAATATTCAAAGTAACATGGTAAACAACATATGGACTTCTAAAAGAACGAATGTGCGAATATAAAACCAACTTTACCTCTATTTAATTATACAGTAAATGGAGAGTTGCAAAAGATGCATAAAATAAAAATTCTAAGCTCCATCTGGAATTTTCTACAAAAATGAAGTAGCATTTTCTTTTTCTCAGGCTTCTGTTAAGTTCACATTTATGGAAAATTAATATTTGATCTCTATTTACTTTGAATAACTAAACATACGCATAGTAAGCTGAGAGAAAAAAAAGGAAAATTTAAGATGCTAGTTAATTTTTTTTTCCTTTTTGATGTGAACACTTATATAAATTTTTGATTCAGTTACAGTTATTACTGTTAAACCTTTTTAAACGATGCAAATTCCAAATTACGCTAGTTTATTATAACAACACAAAGTAATATCCTTATAATAATTATTCACCGGACCGAATCTCATTCACCGGACCGAATCTCATTCACCGAACCGACATGGGTCAAACACATGTGAGACAACAAATTCAAAAGCATAACAAATCAAAATGATCAATTCCTCACTCGTCGTGGCCTTTGCAGATGAAGAAGAGCAACCTCCAGGCTTGAACAGCGGACAGGATGAGCGACGCGATGGCGACCGCGGTGATGAAGCTGCATGATGACTGTGGTCCCCATTCCTCAATGATGAAGCGCTGTTTCGACACGGTGATGTTCTCGTTCTGCCACATCCCCCGCGTGAAAAGCAGACATTTGCCCCGAAAATCCTCCGTGTTCTCCGACAGAGGTACTATAGCTATGAAAGCAAACACGAAGGCTAAAAAGTAGAGGATGCATTGCGCAAATATGAAATTATCCATTGCCATTTTGTCTGCGGTGTCAGTGCGGCTCAAGCTGCAGCTGCGCAGTTCGACTCTGCAGTATAGGAGGAAGATAAAGCTGAGGGCTCTATGGGGGTGGGGAGGGGGGATGTGAAGGAATTAGAGCGTTAATAAATCGTGCTTTTTTATTGTACAGATGCTTGAAAGAGTTAACATTTAATAGTCTGCGCTTTTATCCTGTATTAGTTTATTAGCTATGATCACTTTTATTTGCTATAGGCCTATTGTTTGAAACCAGACTATTGTTTAATTTTTTTTTTTAATAATTCTGAATTTTTATATTTATAATCTATAACTATTAACATCTTTTCTTTTTCTAAATGCATGTTTAAACCAAAACAGAACCATTTCCCCCGTTTTATATAATTAATATAAGCATTGCATAAGCAAATTCATAATCAATTTTAATTTTTAGATATTAAGCTATTAATTTTTATACATCTCAGACGAAATTGTTTATGGTGGATGTCTAAATGTTTTTTTTTTCTTTCTTTTTGTTCTGAACAAAAAGTAAAAAAAAATGTCACTGTCATACTGAATTCTGTAGGTCTACTATTAGCTAGAGCCAATTTATGCAGTGAATAAGAAAATATGTAATGTTGAATAATTTTTTACTAATAGTGTATTTATTCTTTACACGTGTATTTCATTATTATTTTTATTATGACGTCCATGTATTTGTTTTATTAATTTTTGTATTTATTTCTAAAACTATGTGCATTCATTTATAATCCATTAAATGTTTGTTTATTTTTTGTAATGTTTTGCTTGTTTTTTGTTTATTTATATTCAATGTTTGCTTTTTGGTTTTTGTTAGTTGTCAGACCAGGAGATGACATGGCAGAATAACTGATGGAAAGAGATGTCACCAACATCACAAAACCATTTTGATTGTGAAGGTAAGAACTGCATTAATTCAAAAATCATTGTTATTACTAAGAGCAGCCATCAACTTTCCACTTATGTTTGCGTCTTTTATAAATTAGTTAATAAATCATTCATTTAAAAGATTAATTCAAAAATGTTGATTTATCCAATAATTAAACAAGTCTTTTGAGTGATTTATTGAAACATTAGGTTAATAAAAAAAAATGTGGATTCATCCAGTAATGAAAGGCATCTCAGTTAGTCAGTTATTGAATAATTTAATTAAGACATTCATTCAAAAATGCTGATTCATTCAGTAATAAAAAATCTCTTGTGGGATTTTAAATAATTTGTTTATTAAAAATGCTGATTCATCCAGTAATAAAACAAATCTTCTGAGTGAGATATTGAATAATTATTTTACGAGATTCAATAAAAAAATGTTGAATCATCCAGAAATAAAACAGAATTTTGTAAGTGTGATATTGAATAATTAGTTTGAGAGATTCATTTAAAAATGCTAATTCATGCAGTAATGAAAAGTCTTTTGTGATTGATGGATTGAATCATTAGTTTAAGAGATTCATTCAAAAATGCTAATTCATCCAGTAATAAAACACATTTGTGAGTGAGATCTTAAATAATAGTTTAGGTGATTATTTTATTTTATTTTTTTAAAGATGATTCATCCAGCAATATACAGCCTTTTGTGAGTGCGATATTAAATAATTAGTTTAGGAGATTTGTTCAAAATGCTAATTCATTCCGCAATTAAAAGTCTTTTGTGGATAATGAACTTAATGATCAGTTTAAGAGGTTCATTCAAAATACTTAATTATCAGTAATGAATTTTTTTTTTTTTTTTTTTTTGAGTAATGGACTGAATAATTACTTTAAGAGTTTCATTGAAAATGCTGATTCGTCCAGTAATAAAACAAATATTTTATGAGTGAGATATTGAATCATTAGTTTAAGAGGTTTATTCAAAAATGCTGATTTATCCAGTAATGAAAAGTCTTTTGTAAGTGAGATATAGAATAATGTTTAAGCGAAAATGTTTTTTTTTTTTTTTTTTTTTTTGTGAGTTATGGTTTAAATCATAAGTTTAAAAGATTTATTTAAAAAAACTGATGATTCATTCACTAATAAAACAAGTCTTTTGATTAAAATATTGAATAATAGTTTAAGCGATTCATTCAAAAATGCTGATTCATCCAGCAATAAAAAAAAAAAAAACTTTTGTGAATAATGAATTGAATAATTAGTTTAAGAGGTTCATTCCAAATACTGATTCATCAGAAATGAAAACATCTTTTGTGAGGGATGAACTGAATAATTAATTTAAAAGATTCATTCGGAAATGCTAATTTATCCAGTAATGAAAAGTCTTTTGTGAGATATTGAAAGATACGTTTAAGTGATTCATTCAAAAATGCTGATTCATCAGTAGTGAAAATGTTTTTTTGTGAGTGATGGATTAAATCACTACTTAGAAAAATGTGCTCAAATGATGATTCATAAACTAATAAAACAAGTCTTTTGTGTAAAATATTAAATAATTAGTTTAGGAGATTTATTCAAAAATGCTGATTCATCCAGTAATTAAACACGTCTTTTGTGAGAGTTTTTAAACAATGTTTTTAAGAAATCATTTTGAAAATGCTGATTCATCTAGTAAAGATAATTCTGATTCATCCAGTATTGAAAAGCCTTTCATTAATGATGTATTGAATCCTTAGTTTAAAGATATTCATTAGAAAATGCATATCTATCCATTCATTAAATATAAATCTTTAAAAGCATTTGTTTTTTATATGACATATAACAATAGCCTCAACTTCTCATTTTTTTAATATAAAAACCATTCATTCCACAAGCTTTCTTCAACAACCTATAAAGTCAACAAAGGTCTCACTTTTTTAGGTTTCATAACATGCTGTTTGTTATGTGCTGTAAATAAAAAGTTTATTTAATATATAGTGCTTTTTATGTATGACAGTTCTTATAAATGGAAAAATTAGGGTCTTTAATATTTCAATAAGGAAAAAAGACAGAGTAATTTTGTTAAAACTGTTATAAACAAAAAAAAAAAAAAAATTGTCCATCAAGACATGGAAATGCTAAAAATGTCCAGCTTAACAGTGCATATATCAAGTTATAGGAGGAAATGCAGTGAAGTGCTTGTTCAGCTTATTCTGTACACGCTATAGCTATTCTCTCTAAAGTGGTTTTGTTAAGACGCAAAGCAGCCGAGAAAGCAGTCTTGCAGAACAGCAACAAGCAGAGTAAATTACACTATGCGGCTCCATTTACCTTTGAGTAACAACCCATGCTAGAAAGTCCACTGAAGCAATAAGCGCAAATTTAAAATGGCTACTTACAAAGATTATAACTTCTGTAAAGCGTTGAAGACCTGCACACTAGAACAATCATAGCATAACCAGCACGGTGTTTTGATGAGACCATAATAAACAAGCAACCAGTTTTAAGAGATAATATTAGCATGCAGTATTAGTTTGTGTAAACACTGCACCTTAAAAAAAAAAAAAAAAAAATTATTTATATATATATATATATATATATATATATATATATATATATATATATATATATATATATATATATATATATATATATATATATATATATAT